GGTGTTTTAAGGACCCAATCAAAACTGATCATATCTATAACCTTCCATGTCTTAGTTGCGAGTTTGTAGACCTCAACTCTTGGAGGTCTATTTCTTGAATTACTAGCACATCGAAACCTTAATATCCTGTAATCACAATGGCTGAGGTATAAGCATCATCATATTCATGAAAGTCGTTGCCGCATTTGACCCATCTCGTTTCTTTTAATAACGGGTTCCAAACCAAAAGCTGGTTGTTCATGACACACAACAACAGACCGTCGCAATGCACAATCTTGTACACCCTAATAGGTCCGTCTGGACGAATTCTTCTAAGGGTAAGGTTTTCGGTCTTCAAAGACAGAGGATCAACAACGTTTTTCGGCTCTTCAATGCTCACGGAAGAAAGAATACATTCACCATGTGTGATTATCAACCGATGTTCACCGCTATATTTGTCTGTACGAGACAAGTTCTTCTGGAGGAGTCTCTCCTCCAAAATCAGACTGTTCCAGAGCTTGCATACAGATCTGAACCTTGCAAGAGATCTATATGGAACTCTACAGAGGATTTCTTCTTGCAAATCAGGTAGTAGCCTCACTGGCATTGTCTTTGTAACCTGATTGTCAAAACAGAGAGATGATTCATAATCGATGTTCCTCTTTACATAGTCAAAACTGTAATACCATTCTATAAGAAAACTGGAAACTTTGGGACAATATACGAAAGAAAAAACGAATAGACGAGGCACAACTCAAAACAGAGCATGGGCAACGAAATCCATAAAAAAAAAAACAGAGTACGTGAACTTGAAAAACTTTAACAAAAACTGATACCAAAAAAACTTCAACAAAAACAGAGCTTGGCCAAATCTCAAATAATGTTTAGAAACATCTGGTCTTTCTTTCTTCACACAAAATCTCAAAAGTACCTAAGATAACAACATACCAGTTTCGCAAAATTCAAAGTTTAGGACCCAACCTTTTCAAAGTCGAAGTCTCTTAGATCGGATCAGATGCAGTACAATTTGTCTTCTTCCCATATCTTAACTCTTGTCCTTTTTCTTTTTATATCTCTTTTTCTCCGGAATTAGGGTTTTTTTTTTTTTTTTTTTAAAACAACTTTTAATACGAAATAATTGCTCATTCGGCCCAACAAAATGGAACCCAGCCCACCCAATACAAATCTAAATAATCTTTTTTTTTTTTGGTGAATTCAAATCTAAATAATCTAGAAAGGCATTAATTATATCTGCATTTAAATTACTAGACATATATGTCCATGGTCTGTTAATTATATAAGTATTTCATTACTTTCTCTCCAACAAAAAAGCAAGACTCTCCTAGTAATGCCAAATCATATAACATCTCGTGCTATTCAACACTAGATGCAGTAGACAACAAGTTGACTACATAGACACATTTTGTAATCTATGCCTCAATCTTTTCAACTGCTATTCTTAAGAATGATAATGGTACTATATGAGTATTGATGCACTTAATTCAATTTTTTTTATGAGCTTGATCAATATTATTTTCTTTTTAAGGTGAACAGTAAGAAAAACACCTATAAATATCAAAAGCTTTACTCGATTCATCAGGATAAAATATGTAATGATCTTCAGATAAAATATTAAAACGCCCAAACCCAAATCCACCCGGCCATGACAGATGCTTCGATTATTTATAATCTAATGTAGCTTCATAATAGAAAAAGCACCCAATATATCCTTTTAAGGGTTGTAACCAGCCAAGTAAAAATGAAGCGACCAAATCGCACGGAGGATGACTTCCCATGATCTGATCAGGTCCTGAAGTTCATCATCTTGATCGGGAGCCACAAGTGCACAAATGGGTGTAGGACCGCCATTAATCGTCGCAGCGATGCCTAACTCAACACTATTTGGCACTTCATATATGGAGATATAATTTGGACCGCACAGTGTAGATATCTCATTTCTCAAGTGTTGGGGTGCGTCACGGGCCAAGATAACAATCCTAGCTTCTCCATTCCTCACAGCTATTTTAACTACGAAACCCCAAAAGAAAAGAAAAAGTAAAACATATATTTTATGTCCGAGGCATGAAGAAAATTAAAATGGTAATTTTAACGTACCATCAGTTGATCCTTTACTCAATGAGCCAATCTCTGCAGATCTCCTGACGAAGAGAAGAGCAGGACCTGACCAAGGCATTGCTGAGTAGTTAGAGTAAGGAATTTGGTATAAGTTATTGAGACGAAGCAAAAGAAAATAAAGAGGTTAGAGAATATGTGAAATTGTGAAAGCAGGAGGGTGGTATTTATAGTAGAATTTGTTTGTTTTCTATGGTTTTTATTTCACTTAACAACATTTGGAAAATAATAAAACTTGTAAAGGAAGTACACGGAATATTCTGGTAGTGCGATGCATCTATACATTCAATTATGTCTATGTAGTCTCAAAATAGAATGTTACACATAAGTAATATGTGTATTTGATCTATGTAATGCATCTACGCGTTCATACCATATTACACGAAATCTTTCAAAAAGATGAGAGCGACAACTAACAGCTGTTTGTAATAAAGAAAATATGCCAATTTAATTACCTCTAAAACCTTCTCTGTAAAATGTTAATTATATAAGTATTTCATTACTTTCTCTCCAACAAAAAAGCAAGACTCTCCTAGTAATGCCAAATCATATAACATCTCGTGCTATTCAACACTAGATGCAGTAGACAACAAGTTGACTACATAGACACATTTTGTAATCTATGCCTCAATCTTTGCAACTGCTATTTTTAAGAATGATAATGGCACTATATGAGCATTGATGCACTTAATTCAATTTTTTTATGAGCTTGATCAATATTAATTTATTTTTTAAGATGAACAGTCAGGGAGACACCTCTAAATATCAAAAGCTTTACTCGATTCATCAGGATAAAATATAAACATCTTCAGATAAAATACTAAAACCGCCCCAACCCAAATCCACCCGGCCACGACAGATGCTTCGATTATTCATAATCTAATGTAGCTTAATAATAGAAAGCACCCAATATATCCTTTTAAGGGTTGTAACCAGCCAAGTAAAAATGAAGCGACCAAATCGCACGGAGGATGACTTCCCATGATCTGATCAGGTCCTGAAGTTCATCATCTTGATCGGGAGCCACAAGTGCACAAATGGGTATAGGACCGCCATTAATCGTCGCAGCGATGCCTAACTCAACACTACTTGGCACTACATATATGGAGATATAATTTGGACCGCACAGTGTAGATATCTCATTTCTTAAGTCTTGGGGTGCGTCACGGGCCAAGATAACAATCCTAGCTTCTCCATTCCTCACAGCTATTTTAACTACGAAACCCCAAAAGAAAAGAAAAAGTAAGACATGCATATATTTTATGTCCGAGGCATGAAGAAGATTTAAATGGTGATTTTAACGTACTACGTACCATCAGTTGATCCTATAATCAATGAGCCAATCTCTGCAGATCTCCTAACGAAGAGAAGAGCAGGACCTGACCAAGGCATTGCTGAGTAGTTAGAGTAAGGAATTTGGTATAAGTTATTGAGACGAAGAAAAAGAAAATAAAGAGGTTAAAGAACTGTGAAATTGTGAAAGCAGGAGGGTGGTATTTATAGTAGAATTTGTTTGTTTTCTATGGTTTTTTATTTCACTTAATAACATTTTGAAAATAATAAAACTTGTAAAGGAAGTACACGGAATATTCTGGTAGTGCGATGCATCTATACATTCAATTATGTCTATGTAGTCTCAAAATAGAATGTTACACATAAGTAATATGTGTATTTGATCTATGTAATGCATCTACGCGTTCATATCATATTACACGAAATCTTTCAAAAAGATGAGAGCGACAACTAACAGCTGTTTGTAATAAAGAAAATATACCAATTTAATTACCTCTAAAACCTTCTCTGTAAAATGCTAATTATATTATTTGCCAGAAGCTTATTTTCTTTTCTTTTGTCATTATTCACCAAATTATCCCTCTCCTATCTTTGTCAAAACTCAAAAGGGTAGTTGAATTCTTTTAAGTTGCTAAGTTATTGAGGTGAAGAAAAAGCAAAAAAAGGGTGGTATTTGCTATTTATTATATTAAAATATGTTTGTTTTTTTGGTGTTTTTCTTTAATATTTCACAGCTTTTTGAAATTAGTAAAACTTGTAAAGAAAGTACACGGAATATTCTGGCATTGCTATGTATCTATTCAATTTTAAGCCTTTTTATTTGAAATAAGGTTTCTAATTTAATTTGTCGTCCTAATATATTTTCCCTAACCAAAATAATTCGAAAACTAAAACTGACTTGGGAAATGTTATGTTTCTTATTCAAGAGTAAGAAAAAAAGAAGTGTATCTCTTATTTGATTGAAATAATATAACGTGTTGAGATAAATTAATATTCTATATAAGATTTATTTAGTATCCAAATAGAATGTTAAGATATATGCATGTACTCGTTCAAAATAGAATGCATATTATACGAAATCTTACAAAAAGTGGATAGCGACTACTAACACAGTAACACTCTTTGTAATAAAGGAAATGTACCACTTTAGATTGTATAACTTCTCTTCTCTTCTCTAGGTTGTATAACTTGTATGTATTAACTTTTAGATTGGACCACTTGTATTTCAGCATCTTTGACCTCTCAGGGTCGATAACTCAATTAATTAATAATTTCCTTTATTTTACTGACCAGATACATTGAAAATAATTACACGTTTGATTTTGTTGTATAATTGAGTTGTGTCTCCGTATTGATGACTTCGCCGGCCGGATCAATGAATCGGACAGAGATACGGTTAAACTGTGTTGGAGTGACGAGAAATCAAATTTGACAGAATATTGCTTCGTTTATGTTAAGATGCAAATAGTGTTTCTTTATTAATTAATCTTCAATATTTAACTATCGATAGTGGAATTTTTTTTTAAGAAGACTGATTTTTCTGTGCAACAATATTCATATAATTAATTACATGTCTTCAAACAAATTAAGAAACTAATCATAGTACCATATTATTAACTAAATAAAATACTAAAAACCCACATAATTTCTCCCAAATGCCCCATTATTCGTAGTAATATAATATTTTAAAACCACCCGAATCTCTATAATGTAGGATGATACCCTAATTGTTCTTCAAGTCCAGAAATCGTATTTAGCATGTTGATCCACATACGCAGGAATCCTTCATCACCGCGAGGAGCTCTGAGGATCGCACAAGCGACTACGGGGACACCAACATGAGCAGCAATTCTTAACTCGTTACTTGGTACATGGAACATGAGAACTCCATGGCGAACACAAGCAGCTTCGATCTGAATTCTTAAGTTGGGATTCACATCAAGAGCCAAGACGACGAACCTGGCTCTGGATTGCCTGTTCTCCACTGCTCTTAAAACTACCAAAAACAACAAACTAACAAATTATATCTAAGAGATATGATATAATTAAAATAATTGTGTAAAATTAATGATAATTTAATGTACCTTCATGAAATTGTGTCGTCGATGCTTTAATCTCCTGATTTGCTGCAAGTCGAACAAACATGAGTAGAGGAGCCCTCAAAGCCATTTTTAATTTGTTAGAAGTTATTGAGAAGAAGCAAAAGAAAATAAAAAGGTTAGAGAACTGTGAAATTGTGAAAGCATGAAGGTGGTATTTATAGTAGAATTTGTTTGTTTTCTTCTTTTTAATGGGGTTTTATTTCTTATACTTTTTTAAAAATAATAAAACACGGGAATATTCTGGCAATGTATTTGATTGTTTATGTATTTTAGCAATTTGAAATATGGTTCTTCTTTTCTTTGCCGTCTTAATTGTTTTTTTTCCCTAAAAACGTAAATTTCAAAACTACATCTGACGAGCGTCATGTTATGTATAGTCTCAAAATGGAATGTTAAACATAAGAAATATGTGTATCTATGTAATGCATCTACGCGTTTATGTCATATTACACGAAATCTTTCAAAAAGATGAGAGCGACAACTAAACAATTGTTTGTGATAAAAGAATTCTACCACTAGAACCTTCTTTATAATCAACTGGTAATTATTTTTCACAAGCTATGCTTAATTAGGACTTTTTATCGAAAACGTAACAAACATAACTATGGGTTAAACACTTAACTATGCGTAACTGCTCATCTACATAGTATCAGTACGAAGTCTCCAATGATACACAACAACAAACCGTCACAATTCACAATCTTGTACACCTTAATTGGTCCGTCAGGACAAACTTTTCTAAGGATAAGGTCTTCGATTATCAAAGACAGAAGTGTTCGGAATACCCATTGGTGTCACAGATGTCAACGTGCTGTTTGGCTTCGAGCTCGATATAGGACCCAGTAACCCCTTTGATATACTTAGAGCTCACAGGGATGTTGAGCGTGATCCAACCTTTGATCTCGTGGAAGCTTTCTCAGCCTTTATGAGAAGCCGTTTAGCTGAAAGAAGCTATGATTGAGAAATCAGCACAAGACTTGTCTCTGAGGGTTATGAAAGATTTTCGAACTTAGCTCCTCTATTGACTTGAATACCTTAATCTCTGTAACTTAATCAAAAATAACAAATCGATTCCCAACTCACAATCTCAGAACGATAACAACAATGATCACTCTTCAGGCACATCGCCTGGCTCAAGCACATCGCTTGATTGAACATTCAACAACAAACAACATGAACCTCTCTAAACATTTAGAGCCAGTATTTATACTAGAACAGAGTTTGTTATATATATTTTTAGATCCTAAAAATAAGAGTTGGAACTGATTTCAAAGTGCCAAACATCCAAAAACATTAAACGTTTACTGGAAAGAGTTTTTATGCCAAAATAAAACAAAAGGAAGCCACTAAATGCGTCTTCGGCTCGCAAAAGTAAATGTAAACACAACCAATGCACCAACAAGAAGGAACCCGTAGTATCTCTTACCACCTAGGCAAGTATAGTCACGAGGATTGGAAGGTTTGTATCTCCTTTTGATTCTACGGGATTCGCCTATTGATAAGCTTTCCCAAACACTATTAGTATCTCCAGGAAGTGTTTCCAGGGATGGTTCGTCTTCAGGCTGTGCCAAGAGAATATTGTTACCCGCCATATGCAAACGATTCATACCAAATGAAACCTCAAAGTTTTGGGAGATGTCTCCCGCGATTAGCATGAAATTTGCACGTGAACGATTTTCAATTGCCTGGACAAACATGTCCAATAAAATCAATTCAAGTCTCTCCGTTCTATCTGAAATAATATATATCAAGACATAAATTAAAAGCGTGGAAAAAAAGAAATTTATAAGCGTAAAAAGAGTGTTAGGTTAAGGAATTAACCTCCGGTTGTGTGGTTGAACACGATTGCGGGTGATTTTTGGTCCCCATCCGCATAGATGGATGTCTTCTCGTCTGAAACCATATATATATATAAACGAATATCTCAAGATACAGATGAGATAAGTACAAGAGAGGGTTTAAGGAATTTACCTTGAGTTTTCTCGATTGCGGTTGGTTCAAGGTTATCCACGATCTGCTTCCTATCACCATAAGCATAGATGGTCACCGGACCAAGATAATTCATTTCCGTAAGGACCGATCTAATGTTATTCGAAACCCCAACAGCTTTATAACCATCGGGGATTCCGCAATCATTCACATCCCAGAAGACGTTCGTTTCCGCGTCTTTGAATCGCTTCGCATAGTAAGTTTCCCGATCATCATCATCACCCATGGAAATCACTGGGAGAGAGGAGCGATAACCCTAGAGAGAGAGAGAGAGAGAGAGAGAGAGAGAGAGAGAGAGAGAGAGATTAACCCTAAAGAGAACAAGCAGAACTTATCTAACCTAATCGTGGATTTTTTTTATTTTTTTTCCTATTTTGTTTTCTTAAAGAATTCTAGGTTAAACGACTCTCTTTCTTCAACGAATCTAGTCTGCCGTCTCTGCCCCATCTTTTCTCTCTAGCTAATATCGTCGATCAATATGGCCATGTATAATCCCTTTTGCGGTAGGATCTCTCATCTCTCTCTATCTCTTATCCATCTATCATAGCAAATCGATGGATCAAGTCTATTGATTTTTGCCCCTTGTCTCATGACGACTATCTTTTGGTAAATTAATTATTTATGCGTTATTCTTATTTGTAAAAACCTTGCAGAGGCAGAGATTGAAGTGTTATGGGATGTCAATGATTGCCCAATCCCTTATCGTCATCTCGATACTACCGATGTTAAATGCAACATTATACGAGCCCTTCAGAGTAAGGGTTATCATGGTCTTCTCACAATCACAGCTTTTGGCGATCTGGATATTGTGGGTAATGACTTTAATGGATTCTGTATCTTTCCCACAGGAGTAGGTTAACTCCTTAAACGCCTAAACTCTCTTTTACTAATTCTCTTTTAGTTATGTCTTCTTCATCATGATCAACCACGTTTATATATGGTTGCAGGAGCTTATGATTGTACACGCAAGATGATTTTATTGAACTTTCTTAGCTGTTCACTTTCATATGGTTCAAAACCAAAAGTTGTGCTGCTAATCGTGGGAGATATCTCAAGACACAAGGGGTTTAAAAGGGCCATTGACGTATGGAATTCTAATAGACTTGGCGTTGTTCTCTTAGCACAGCCCCATAAGGCATCTCAGGAGGTACATGATGCCGTAAGTACAGAATGGCTTTGGGAAAAGCTAGCAACTGCAAGTATCAACAACTAAAGCGAAAGCCCACAGCGATTCTAAGTTTTATTGTGATTGTTTTCTTGTAAGCTTAACATCTCAATATCTCTATCAATGAATGTTTTAAGTTTTTATTGTTGCTTCTGTATTGTGACATCTCTTTTTAATTAAGAGTTGGAATATTTAGAGTTGCTGTCATACTTCCGGTTGATTGACTTTAATTCTATATTATATACACCATATCTTGACCATGTAAACTACACACTTTTGTGTGAGCTCAGAACTTACAATTTGACTTGGGAGAACGAGAGCTTACAGAGAAGGAATGCATGCACCAGCTAAGACTTTGCTTCATTTAAGAAGTGTCACCTTGAGATATAGAAGAAGACAACAAATCATTAATCCGGTTCTTGCCATTCCAGCTTTACAATGAACTACCACTACATTTTGGATATCTTCCTTCAACCATGTGTGATGTGTATGCACTTTGACAAAACGATGGTATCAATTGGATAGGAGGACAATTATGGTCATTAAATGGGAAAGATGCAACCTGAAGCATGCAGGAAGATTAATAAAACTTGTAAAGAAACTACACGGGAATATAGAGATGTTATATGTAGTATCAAAATAGAATGTTAAACATAAGAAATATGTGTATCTATGTAATGCATCTACGCGTTCATATCGTATACACGAAATCTTTCAAAAAGATGAGGGAGACAACTAACAGCTGTTTGTAATAGAAGATTTATACCACTAAAACAAACACTTAACTATGCGTATAACTACTCATCTACATAGTATCATCGGCATTGTGTGACCTAATTGTCAAAAGAGAGAGGGATGATTCATAATCGTATCATAGAGTATCATTATAATTGTAACAATAAACTGAAACTCAATAAAATTGGAATACATTGACGACTCATAAGAATAATTGAATTGGAAATTTTAGAGTAAGAGTTAAGACAATTTCTAAAATTTTGTTAGTTTCCCAATCTTTATAGTTAGCAAAGTGCAATAACCGACTGATTTTGAGGTAATATTAAAAAAAACTATAACTAAAGATAGTTTTTACTTAAACTCCACGTCAAAGGGTCAGAGTTCGGAAAGGTGTCAACGTTTTTTTGTAAACTAAAACTCAAAAACTGAAAATAATAATCATAAGCTACTAAATCATAAGAAAACTGTAACAGTTATTGTGTGGACGAAATGACGTCCAACCTTTTTATGCAACAAAAGCAATCAAATAACATGTACCTTGAAACAAGTATTATGAAAAACTAATGTAACCACCAAAAAGAAAAAACTAATGGGCGGTCTTTGAGAGTAAAAACAAGCAAGCAACAAGCTGAAAAAAAGAGCAAAACTTTAGTTGAATCGATTTTTTCTCCATCGTATCCGAGTTGTGTCTTGCTTGGAAAATCCATGAGGATGAGCTAAACTTGGAACATAGACGCACGTATTTCCTGCAGTTGTTTCATAAACTTTTTGGAACTCCTTGTCTTTAACTCTGAAAATTCTAATAGATTTGGCCGCCTCATTAAAGCAAGATGTGACGAGTGTATCGTTTCTATCAACAAAAAAATTTGCGGAGAAGCGACTACGATGAGTTTCATATAACAGAGGAAAATGTGGTATAGCCAAAACCATCAGTATGGTCCAAGGCGTGATCAAATGCCTGACCCATATGGATATCTTCCTTGTTTGATGACATTGCTCTAACAAACAAAGCCGATTTCCCCGAAAATTCCCTAGTGCAAAAGGATTATGCTCATCATACCTAAAAGGAAGGTGTCCTAAGGGTTGAAATCTTTCTCTAGAATAATCAAAGCTTTGTATGAAAGCTGTAGAATCTTCCCAAAGACCAATCCAATAAGAATTTCCTCCTAGAGACACACTCGACAATGGTACTCGAAGGTGCCAATCAAAACTAATAAGGTCAGTTATAATCTTCCATCTATTAGATGTGAAGTCATATACCTCAACCCTAGAAGGTCGATCTCTAGAATTATGACTACATCGAAACCTTACGATTTTGTAGTTGCGAAGAGTTGGTGATTGGCGGATGAATCCAAGACCATAGGCATCGTCAAACCGGTGAAAGTCACTGCTGCATTTGATCCATCGTGTCACTTTCAAATATGGATTCCATATCAAAAGCTGGTTCTCCATGACACACACCAATAGACCAGTGCAGTGAACAATCTTGTACACTCTTATTCTACAACCAAACTCATGAACAATTTTTCTATTTTTCAGGGTAAGGTCCTCAATTTTTAAAGAAGGACTGGCCACAGAATTTATCCTATTACGATCACCTTTGATTATAATCTGATTGTCACCAAGAAACTAATCGTCACCACTATAGTTGTGCATACGAGACGCGTGCTGCGCAAGAAAGGTCTCCTCTACAAGTTGCGTGTTCCACTGCTTGCATACACATCTGAATCTTGCAAGAGATTTGTCTGGAACTCTACACAAGATTTCATCTTCCAAATCTCGTGGAAGCGTCACCTCCATCGTGTGATCTAATTATCAAAAATTAGAATACCAATCTATATGGAACCTATTTTTTTTGGAACAACCTCGTCGAAATTGATGCACACTGACACTGGCTTCAATAGATCTTTTCAGTTTTTAGTTTCGAATATTAGGGGTTTTAGACAAATTTTATGCGAAACAAATGTTCATTGGGCCTAACTTCTCGGCCCATTTTAAACTTTCGTTTGTTACAAGATATTTTTATTTTTGCCAACTTCAAATGTATTATTCAAAACCTTTACAAACACATACATACAGTAAGATCTGATCCTCTAACATTATTATCACATTATTTTCTTATGTGGATGCAAATTAGCACATGTCTCATCAACTTATTTCAGATAAATGATTAGGAACAAACAATGAACTAATTCTAAACCGAGAATTAAGAATAAAGATCACAGTTTTAGAACCTGAGAGAATTACATAAATACCATTGCAGTAGATAGAATTCATGAGAATACAAAAAGATACCACAAATTTTGATCCCCACAGTCACGTGCATTGTAGGGCTCGAAGGCTTAATGGGTCCCATAGCTCCGGCTCGAGGTTTCTGTGTCGCACGTGTGTGGGCACACAAATCTCTGGTAGTACGTAACATACATGATTCCCATGTTGACCTGACTGGAGCAGAAGGTGCTGTGTAGTGGACCACTGAATCTGAGCCGTACGTTCAAACTTTTAACCTCATCGTCACATTTTATGAACTACAATTACCGGAGAGACCCAAATGGCATCTTTTTTTCTAATAATCGTTCATCATCCATATTCTTCTGCGACCTTTTTTGTCCGTTGGATTAAACCTCAAAGATTATGACTTACGGTGAATAAACCAAACTTATATAGCCCTTTTCCACCGAACATTCTCAGATGAACAAGTATTTTTTTTTTAATAATATAACTTTCCAACTTCAAAATCAAGCTTTTAAACAGTAAGTGAGGTCAGATTCATTCACTTTTTCCCCCCTTATTATGCCAAAATTAGTTACAAACTTACAATCACATCAAAAAAAAAATTGTTGACTTTGGTTAGTCCATAATATACGTAACAAAATCATATAAATACAAAACTTTCTCCATTAAAATTATTTAACTTCTGCCTCTTTTTTTCTCCTCGTGAAGGAAAATTCTTTAGTCTTTTTCTCTCCTCGAGAATTACGCAAACCCAGAAATAACTCAAAACTGAAAAGTTAAAAAAAAAAAAACAGAGAAAGAGAATGACGGCATCAGGAGGAGGAGAAGGAGGATCAACGGCGGCGACGGGGAGGATGCCGACGTGGAAAGAGAGAGAGAACAACAAAAGGAGAGAAAGAAGAAGAAGAGCCATAGCAGCTAAAATATTCACCGGACTTAGATCTCAGGGCAATTATAAACTCCCTAAACACTGTGACAACAATGAAGTCCTTAAAGCTCTTTGCCTTGAAGCTGGTTGGATCGTTCACGAAGATGGCACCACTTATCGAAAGGTTCCAACTTTAATTTCAATTCTGTTTTTGATATAATTTTCAGACATTGAATTGATTTTTTTTTCCGACAGGGTTCTCGACCGACAGAAGCAACACCGTTGTGTTCGTCAATTCAACTTAGTCCACAATCATCAGCCTTTCAAAGCCCAATTCCGTCGTATCAAGCTAGCCCATCATCGTCATCTTACCCAAGTCCGACCCGGTTTGATCACATTCCAAACCGGTTTGACCCGAATCAATCATCGACTTATCTAATTCCTTATCTTCAAAACCTTGCTTCGTCGGGAAACCTCGCTCCTCTACGAATTTCCAATAGTGCCCCTGTTACACCGCCGATTTCTTCACCTAGAGGGTCAAATCCGAGACTCCCGAGATGGCAAAGTAGTAATTTTCCAGTCTCAGCTCCGTCAAGCCCAACACGGCGTCTCCACCACTACACATCGATTCCAGAATGTGATGAATCGGATGTTTCGACGGTTGATTCGTGTCGATGGGGAAATTTCCAACCGGTTAACGTTTCTCAGATATGTCCTCCGTCGCCGACTTTTAACCTCGTCGGGAAAAGCGTTAACGGCGGCGGAGGAGACGTGTCGGTGAAGCCGTGGGAAGGTGAGAAGATTCATGATGTTGGTATCGATGACTTGGAGCTGACGTTAGGTAACAACACCAAAGGACGCGGCTAGGTTAATATCGTAGTTTAACTATTTAGTCGGGTCCGGTACGGGATTTGGTTCCGGTTTAACCGTAGCTAATAGATTGGTCTTTGTCTTCATGACTATTTGTATACTCATTATCAATGCTTCATTTCACAAATCTTATATAATTTTATGTAATGGTGTATAATGAAAAATGCAAGTGTGTGAAAGTGAGAGGAACCATTCCACATGTGGTGATGGGGTCATGTGAATGTGATTTTGGTTATCTCTGTTTCTCTATCTAACCACGCGTGATTGATCAATGTGTCTACCTATATCAATCACGTACCATTTTATTTTTTAGTGGACCTGTATTTTTGATATATCTTTTAAGAAATTGAATGAGAAACAACAAAAAACAAGTTGGTTGGTTCATGTGGTTTGAGACTTCTGTCCTTATTACACGTTTAAACGGAAATTTATAAAAGTTTGAATGACACTGATATTTTATTGAGAATTTATAGAAACTAACCTTCAATTCAAAAAGAATTCACAAACTAACCATGAGCTACAGTAACCTGTCTGCAACATGTCGGAATGGCTGTGTAATTACGTATATGTCCTTTGTAACACGCTTTTTTTTCGAATTACATGTGATAGCATAATATATCTCTTTTTATCATGTATTTTTCTCGTACTACATGTTATGTATAAATAACACATAGTATTTCTCGAAAAAAACATTATATTCAGTGTAATATCTGTCTTTATCATGTTATTTTGTAATAATACACGTGTTTTATTAAGATCACATGTGAATATCTGTCTTTATCATGTTATTTTGTAATAAAACATTTGTTTTATTAAGATCACATGTGATTTCTTTTTAAAAAAGATGATTATTTTTTAGTAATACACGATTTTTTTTAAGATTACATGTGATTTCTTTTTTAAAAGTTACTATTCAGATTAAATTTTCCATGTCAATGTTTTTTCTTAAAATAACACTACGTAACAATGTTTTTTCTTAAAAATTCACTATGTTTTTTAAAATATCATGTCTTTTAGTTTAATATAACATGCGAAATTTAATTGTTACATGCTATTTTGAAAAATCTCACGAAACTGTCTTATTTTTTTATATCCAACGACAAAGTTCTTGTAATTACTATAACTTACAAGGATAATTTCGTATTTATCCTACCCCTACCCCACAAGAAAAAGAGTTAGTTTCTAAAGAAAACTGACACAACGTTAGTTTCTTAATTCTTGTGTAGAATTTGGCTATTTGCTAATATTTCCCTATTTTATTTATCTTTCAGTCATTTATAGTGATTTTTTCTTTTTTTAAAGCTTTTTCTTTGTTTTACGAAGATTTAATTATTAGTTTTGGTTTTGTTGGTACGTTCTGGTTGACTGGTTTTACTTCATTTGGTTTATATATTTGTGTCAACAATTGTATTTTATATATCTATATATACATTTTTGGATCACAATTAGCAAATAAATCCTGAAGTTGAGAAGTATTTACAATGGCATGCCATTAGCATTAATTATTTAGATTTGTTTTATTTAAGTAAAGATTTTTAAATGAAATTCATTTCTCATATATTTAGCAAAAGTCTCTACAAAATCTTTCCTTATCTATTTAAGTAAAGATTTTGAAATCAAATATGTTCTCAACAATTTACCAAAAATCTCTACACAATCTTTTTAAAAATCTCGACTTAGTTAAGTTCTGATTTTTATCTGCAAAAAAAAAAATTAATAGTAACGAGTGATGTAAAAATCGGGAATGTTGATACTACAATTTCTTCTACTTCTTTTTTTTTCATATAATGAAAATTAGTTTTTAGGGATATTTTCTCAGAACCTCTAAATAAAACAAAGGGTTTCAAAAGATAGCTTCTCTTTTGGCGGGTCGACCCGCAAACCCGCAACTCTCTACGGGCTTATCCGCATGAACCTGCGACCCGTAGTGGATAAAAATATTATTCAAAAAAAAATAACAAATGATGTTTAATTTTACGGGACGGGGTTATATGGTGCAACGGGTTTGGATCGATATTAATATTAAACAATATACTATGGATGAAATCCTAGAATTAAAAATCAAAATTTAATTATAAAATCAGAAACACTAAACAAAATTAACAATATTAACAAAACAAATACAACTTAAAATTTTGCTAAATAATTTTTTAGTTATAAAAAAATCGACCCGCGGTGTACCGCGGGGTAAAATCTAGTGTGTGAACAAAATTGAAACGAATGTGTTTTTGTCTTCGTCGACAATTGAAACTATTTCTTGTTCGGGTCATTTTCATGTTGCTTTATATATACAAATTTCGTTCCACACATAAAAGTATAAAACCATTTGGTTTTGGATATAAATATTTTACAAAAAGAATAAGAAAAAACACAGAGTATGTTATTGTTTTTCCCTCATTTCAGTGGGCTCATACATGTCATTTAGTAGACTATAACGGGCCGAAACTATATGACGATATTGCACTAGAGAATTAAATAGAGTTGGGTAATCGGTTAAAGCCTAACACAATCAATAAGACAATAACGCATTTAGCATCTTGAGTTGGTCCACTTAATGAAAGTATGAAACTAACTAGAAAAAGTATAATCAAAATAGAAAAACCAAACATTTACGTCAAAAGAAATAATCAAAATCCTCATATGGGCCTAAGAGGATCTCAAAAATGCTTCAACTCCTCTCCATGCCGAATTTAATTCTCTTCTTTGGACCATGGAATGTTTGATAATGGCCTTTATAAATTATAACCAATATGAGATTTGTTTCGGATTTTCCATGGCCTTGTATCGATGATTCATAACTCTTCTAAGTGGTCTATTTTCGCAACAGAGTTAACATTTTTCAGAGATTTTAAAATTAGATTTATCTTTCAATGAAATAGTCTCCATGCTAACTGTCTATAAGAAAACAAGAACATGAGGTTCTCTATTCACCCGTGTAAATTCGAAATTGTAATGGGAGGATTCTTAACCATGATCCTCAAATTTCGATTGTATTATTCAACCACTGAACCATCATGAGTTAGTTTAGAAGAGATAATTCTTGTTTAAAAAAGTCGTTAATTTTTCGGCTGCTATTACCTAGTTGACTTGCTCATGGCATTTATGTACTCCGGCGTTTAGTAGTCCAATATTCAACTGCCATGACGAGACGGAGCTGATATCTCTGTCTCAATACGGCACTATTCACGCCTTCCGATGCTGATTATTTGGTTTGAAAAAATCAAATGTTGAATAATTCTCCAACTATATAAGTCAACTTATGTTGATAGTAACTATCTATTATGAGGATGGGGACGCTTGATGCAAAGATAAATATCTGTTTGATCTCTAAGATGCATATATGACAGGAGTTTAGGCTTATCAATCTTTGTAATGCAGAATTACTTTCAAATTCTTTTTATTACAAGTTCAAACGGATTCTCCCACATAGTGAGTGTATGTATCGGAAGTCCACAAATCGGTTCAAAACTTCAAACTAAAACTATGATTTATTGATGTTTTATACATATATATCATACAATTATCAAGAAAAGCTAATTGTCCATCATATATATTTAGTTGAATAATTCAGCTTACAAAACATGTGATTATCGAGTTTGAATTGTTGACAACACTATCGAGTGTGAATTCAAGTTATGATACATGACAGCGGTTTTAAGAAAAATCACTAAGTTTATATGTTTCCGTCGTATGCTGAAATGTATTTTTTAGTTTTTAACGAACAACAAGAATTAACAAGAAGTTTGGTAGGACAAACAAAAAGATTGTATAGATCATTTACATGAATCTGAAACCGGAATATATTGAGAAAAATGTTAGTAAATGGTGTCAGGGAAAGTGATGACAACTTCTTTAATTTTGCAAGCCTCGTTGTACTCGGATGGGAATAGTCTCATAGATCCCATATTTCGTCCAATGTTTTTTTTTCTAAATATATGTCTTTAATATATACAGTAAGTCAGTAACTAATAAGATTCTGCAATTTAACGTTCTAAATGAAAATGTTAAAGTAAATTTATTGTTTCTAATGGCAAATCTCATAGCATCTTACAATACAATATCATATTTAAAAAAAATAAAAATAAAAGAGAGAGAGAGAAGAACCTGAAAATTGCGATACGTCAACGATTTTAAGTTTTTAACTAACTGTACTTTTCAAATAGTAGATAGGAGAATTTTTTCATTCGAATTTAATCAAATTATGTTATATTAGATGTAAAGATTTTTTTGGGGTAAACTTAACTTAGTGTTTTGTTCTGTCATCTAATAGAAATATATCTAGAATGAAAAAGATAACTAAATAATTGTTAGAGAAACAAATTGAAGTGGATAAAGATTTTGTAAAATAACATATAAAACGTTGAAAAGATCGTTTTAGTAGATTTTTGTTTTTTCTAGTTATAATTTTAACACAGTAGTGGTATATACCGAAATCACTTTTCTAAAACATGAAAACATAAGAATTGAAAAAATCAAAAATCACGTTTTCAAGAGATGAACGTAAGATAATTATTAATTTTTATGCCCAAAATAATCAAAGAGATAGCTTATTATTTTAATGAGGAAAATAGTGGTGGATCAATATATAAAATATCAAGATGACGGGGACCTAGACTGCCCGAAGACAAAAAACATTAATTGTTTGAGCAAATTGTAACATCATTTTAGCAAATTTCAACGTTACAGCAGTGACATGATTCAAGCATCTATGTATTTAACAGATTTTGGTGACATGATTCAAGAATTTAATAAAATCCCAACCGATTTTTTTTTTTTTTTTATTATTGTGTTTTTCATAAATTCGTATATATTTATAAAATAGACGTTTATTTGAGAATGTGATCAAGCATCTAGAAAACCCTGTTTGCTTCTTAGCAAGTAAGTACATGATGCATTATGGCCTATGAGTAATTATACATATATATATATATAGTATGGGGTCGTGTCTAGTGTGTAATGAATACAAGTCGGAAATCTTACCATTTATCTTCTGGTCGATGCATTACATTTTATTATTCACGCGACAACTTATGTGGTCAATTCTTTTCTATATGTATGCAGTTCACTAAGATACATTTACACCTACATATTTATATTTACTTTTTTTTTTTTGTTTGTATAAACCGATCAGAGAGATGATATCAAAAATAAAATAAAAACAATTAAGGTGGTAGATAAGACCTTAATTAATATACACTTGCAAACATTTTAAAGTCTTTTGGTTCTATATATTCAACTCACTTGCTACTATGAGAGAGTAAGCCGAGACAACAACAACAAAAAAAGGCAACGTTCATCTATCTAGGCTATGAAGATTACAAAACCACATGCCGCCATGTTCGCTAGCCCCGGAATGGGCCACATCATCCCGGTGATCGAGCTCGGAAAACGCTTAGCTGGATCTCACGGCTTCCACGTCACCATTTTCGTCCTTGAAACCGACGCAGCCTCCGCTCAATCTCAATTCCTAAACTCACCAGGCTGCGACGCGGCCCTTGTTGATGTTGTTGGCCTCCCAACTCCGGATATCACCGGTTTAGTCGACCCATCAGCCTTTTTTGGGATCAAGCTCTTGGTCATGATGCGTGAGACCATTCCTACCCTTCGATCAAAGATAGCTGAGATGCAACACAAACCAACGGCTCTGATCGTAGACTTGTTTGGTTTGGACGCGATACCGCTCGGTGCTGAGTTCAACATGTTGACTTATATCTTCATCGCTTCAAACGCACGTTTTCTCGCGGTGGCTTTGTATTTCCCAACGTTGGACAAAGACATGGAAGAAGAGCACGTAATCAAGAAGCAACCTATGGTTATGCCTGGATGTGAACCGGTTCGGTTTGAGGATACACTTGAAACATTCCTTGACCCGAACAGCCAGCTGTACCAGGAATTTGTTCCTTTCGGTTCGGTTTTCCCAACGGCTGATGGTATTATTGTGAATACTTGGGATGATATGGAGCCCAAAACTTTGAAATCTCTTCAAAACCCAAAGCTCTTGGGTCGGATTGCTGGTGTACCGGTTTATCCAATTGGTCCTTTGTCCAGACCGGTTGATCCATCTAAAACTAATCATCCGGTTTTGGATTGGTTAAACAAACAACCGGACGAGTCGGTTCTTTACATTTCATTTGGAAGCGGCGGTTCTCTCTCGGCTAAACAGTTAACCGAATTGGCTTGGGGTCTTGAGATGAGTCAGCAACGGTTCGTTTGGGTGGTCCGACCGCCAGTTGACGGTTCGGCTTGCAGTGCATATTTCTCCGCTAACAGTGGTGAAATAAGAGACGGTACACCGGATTATCTACCAGAAGGTTTCGTTAGCCGGACTCATGAGAGAGGTTACGTGGTCTCTGCTTGGGCTCCCCAAGCAGAGATCTTAGCCCACCAAGCCGTTGGTGGGTTTCTGACTCACTGCGGTTGGAATTCCATTCTCGAGAGCGTTGTTAGTGGCGTTCCGATGATTGCGTGGCCGCTTTTCGCGGATCAGATGATGAACGCGACACTACTCAACGAAGAGCTTGGCATTGCCGTCCGATCTAAGAAACTCCCGTCGGAGGGAGTGATTACGAGGGAAGAGATCAATGCCTTGGTGAGAAAGATCATGGTGGAGGAGGAAGGTGATGAGATGAGAAAAAAGATAAAGAAGCTGAAAGACACGGCGGCGGAGTCGCTGAGTTGCGACGGTGGAGAAGCGCATGAATCGTTGTCAAGAATCGCCGACGAGAGCAAGCATCTTTTGGAGCGTGTCAGGTGCATGGCACGTGGTGCCTAGGAACGCTTACCGTTAAAAGTATTTTACTTATAAACTGCGTGTCGTTTTACCTTCTTTGGTATCTTGTAGTTCAGTTTCCGAGTCTTGCTTGCCACATGCTATCACGTGTTTTTTTTTTGTTTGGGTCAACGCTAGTCGTTATCACTAATGTATTATATTCATTGTACAAATAATAATCAGTGTTTAATTTGTATAATAAGTAGATCCTTTTTTAATCTCTAAGTCTTTGGTTACTAAAGGGGAACAAAAATGGTTGTATATGATTAATATTTGACGTCAATATGAAACGGTGATTTAAAAACATTTCTATAGGAATGATCTGATGATGTACAAAATCATTATGATGTTGTAGTTTTATATATTAAGATTTTTTTTTTAATCAGTAAATTATTACTAATTTCCATAGGTAATTGTAATATAATTAAGTGATACTGAACGTCACATGTAGTTGACGCATTATCGATCTAAAAGAAACAAAATACGTGGTAGCTCAATTTTGTCTTATACTTCCTTTCTATTTAACTTTACAAATCTCTATATGTTTTTTTATGAAAGAATATTTGATACTTTTACGAAACTTAAATTCAATTGGAAATTGAGATTAAGCAGGAACAAATAACACAGAATCCATCTAGAAGGAAGTAGCTAAATTTTGTCTTGTACTAATTTCTATATGTTCTTTATTAATGAATCATTGATTTTTTTATGTGGTTAATTAGGGAATCTTGAATCTAATTGGAACTGAGATTAAGAAGAAACAATTAACCAATTAGCTCGAACGTGACAGTTCTATAGCTACCTCCGATATACTCGGGATAGGTTTATGTAAACGTATGATTTCAAATAAAATAGTTCAATCATTTTAAGTGATGATGTTTGTTACAATTATTATTTTTTGTTTCGTGACTGTGTTACTAATATTTTAACCCCAAAGAGATATTCTATATATCAAATTCAACTCTACCAAATCATCCACTTTGTGATTACCAAAAAAAAAAAATCATCCACTTTGTCTATTATGCATTGGCCACATATATGATTTCTCTCCTATTGACTTGGTGTGGAACACGCAGCTGAATTGATCTTCGACTACGATTTTCTATTTCAATCATTTTTCAATTCTTTTTTCAACTCTTTTTTTTTTGTCGTCTAGATTTATTATTAATTGCAAATTATGAGAACTGTTATATAGACGATTCTACAACTGACAATTCCTTCCGACCCTTACTAGATCCACGACCGACTATACTTCCTTCTTCATGATCTTGATGAATGCCTTCAATGATCCACGACCTGGCGACACTTCCCTCTGCGTAGAATCCTGGCGAACGGCTATAATTGTACATCGCTGGAGATCTCCTGCACACTTGCCTCCATTAATCTGCAAATTTGTTAATAAATCGCAATATCTGGAATTCGAACCCCAGACCTCTTGATGTAGAAGCATTAATCAACCCTTGGTCAACCAATGGGTCAAGGGGGCTTCCACTTTCAACTCTTTTTCATTCCAATTATTTTCATTAGTTTCAAAGTATTTAAATTTGAGTGTAAACCGTCCTTTTTTTTTGTTGCAATAAAGTTAACATAAAAAAAAAACATTCGTTACATTCTCGTAATTCGTAAAGATTATAAGAATTTGAAATGTAACAAAAGAAATAAGGAAAAGGACCAGCGTTGACTTGTAAGTTGTAAAACATATTTTCACAGCTTTTGTATATTGTTGCACACCAATCTCACTTCGAAAAACTTAAACTAGCTTTGGTGGGTCAAAATTAGAGAATACTGATGGGCTTTTAAATCTCGGCCCAATCTAATTAATAAGCCCATATGAAGTCTTGTTTCCGTTTCCAACGGTCGAAAAGTGTTACAAATAGGATTGTAGGAGGAAAGAAGCTTCCTTCCCACGCTACTGTGTGTCTCTCCTATCGCCGCCATTCCTAAACTTTCGATTTCAATTTTATTTCTTTTTTGAGTTCCATAATTCTCGAAAATTTTCTTACTTTTTGTTTTTTTTTTTGGTTTTATTACTACATTATCAGATAACAAAACAAAGAAAACTTTTCTTGAGATTACAAAAGAAAAGTAAGAAATTTTTCAAGTCCTTGTTCAGGTATATCTTGAATCCCTCCCCTAAATGTATGTTTGTTTGATTGATCTTTAGAATTTAATATTAGGTTACCGAGATTTAGTTTGAGTTTTCGGTTTTAAATCATAGAGAATGTAAAATCATAAAATGAATGAATTTTTAATTGTGATCTTTTATTATCAAGAATTAGTTGTTTGTTCTAAAATTTCCAAAAAATAGTTAAAAATTTAATTTTCATTTATTTTGGTAATCGTGATATATATATTATTACATGAATTTGAAAATAGTATGATTCAACGTTATGAAATGGATTTAATAATAATTTAATTTATGATACTAAAATTGTTCAATTTCAATAATTACATTGTAATAGATATACATCTATTGAATATTAAATTCATTATTGAATCAATCTTTAACACTTATTATGATTTGTCTTTGATCGAAAAACACTTTTTTACATTGATCACTTTTAACTCAACTTCTGTCTTTAGTAAAGAAAATAGTCTGATCATGTGTTACGAGATCGATTTAATAATAACTAAATTTATGGTATTAAATCGTTATATTTTAATAAGTACATTGTAATATTAAATCTATTATTGAATCGATCGTTTAACATTTATGATGTTTTTTTGTCGTCAATCGTAAAACCCTTTTTATTTTTATTTTACATCGATCGTCTTTAACTTAACTGGGTCATTTATGGTATTAAGATCGTTGTATTTCAACAAGTACATTGCTATAGATATATATTGATTGAATATTAAATCTATTAGTGGTTCGATCGTTTTTAGATGTTTTTGTCATCAATCGTATAACACTATCTTTTTTTACAGTGATCGTCTTCAATTTAACTTCATCATTTTCTATTATTGTTTCTTTAAAATTATTGGTGATACCATGGTAAAAAATGGAATTACTATGTATTTTTTTTATCAATTTCTAATTTTTATTTTATATAGAAACTGATAAAAATACATAGTAATTCTATTTCTTACCATTTTTTCTCGTGGTATACATTTGTGCACATCATGCATAAAGTTTTTTTTGCTAAAAGAGTTGCATATTTTACATATCGGGTCCACATATAATTGTATATGTATAGAGTAACGCTTATATGAAAAAGTAAAAAGAAAGTTGTTACACATATTTATGAAAAAAATCACTTAAAAGATAAGATTACAAAAAAATCATGACATGTGGTGGTGAATAAATAAAAATTACTTAAAGAGATAAGGTTAGTAACGAAACCAGGTCATGCCATTCATGCTAATTGGGTAAACAAATTTTTTCCCTTTTTACCATTAATTGTCAATTAATACACATGAAACAAAATTCATTTTTTCCTCTCCCACATGACGTCCATTTTTAGTCCACAAAACAACTCTTAAAATTACAGAATTACCACCCACATTTTGTAGTACTATAAATACGTGCAAACACACCCTCTTTCACTCATCATCCTTAGTCCTCACTCACTTCCAATCTTCAAAATGGGAGCTCGAATGATTTTCAGAAACTATCCTTCTTACAATGAGTCCGACGTCGAGCCATTCCAGTTCAATATCAGCAAAGACTTGCTTCTCCACCGAAGCGATGTCCTAGTGGGAGAGATGATTGGAGAAGGAGCCTACTCCATCGTCTACAAAGGATTGTGTGTTTCATCTCTCTCTCTTATTTTATATTGATGAATTTAAATGTGTTTGATTAATGTAAATCACTAACTTTCATATGTTCTCTATAATGATTTATAGGCTAAGAAACCGATTTCCCGTGGCGGTGAAGATAATGGAGCCGAGTATGCCTTCTTCTGTAAACAAAGCGAACGAAAAATTGTTTCAAAAGGAAGTTCTATTACTATCCAAGATGAAACATGACAACATCGTGAAGGTAAAAAAATGACAAAAATATATTATTTATATTGGTGTTTTCAATATTAATGTTATAATAATGAGAAATTAAACATGTTTTTTTATTAAAAGTAAAATAAAATAAATAAACATGATTTTTGATGATGTGTAGTTTGTTGGAGCTTGCATAGAGCCAGAATTGATGATAGTGACCGAACTCGTTGAAGGCGGCAATCTTCAGAGGTTCATGACAAACTCTCGTCGGGATCCTCTTGATCTAAACATGGCACTAAGCTTTGCTTTGGATATTTCTCGAGCCATGGAGTTTGTGCACTCAAATGGCATCATTCACCGTGATTTAAATCCAAGTAAATATGCTCCATTTTTTACACATTTAATAGAGAAACAAATTTGATTATTTGGTGTACTTGTGTAGGGAATTTGCTGGTAACCGGTGATCTGAAACATGTAAAACTGGCTGACTTTGGAATTGCAAGAGAGGAGACTAGAGGTGGCATGACCTCCGAGGTTGGAACCTATAGGTGGATGGCTCCTGAGGTAATTATTCGTTTGAGCAAAATCTTATATTTCGAAACATATAAGTTAAAGATTTTCTGTTTCGTAACCACAGGTATGTAGCCGTGAGCCGCTGAGAGTTGGGGAGAAGAAGGAATATGACCATAAAGCGGACGTGTACAGCTTTGCCATAGTATTATGGGAGCTGGTTACAAACAAAGAACCATTCGCTAACGTGATTAGTAGCCTCTGTGTTCCCTATCTTGTTAGCAAGGTGGTAAAGTCAGACATATATCAAACCTTTTTAACTTAAAAGGGAGAAGGTTTTAAAATGTTGGATATCTCTTTTTTACAGGGTCGGAGACCAAGTCTGGAGAATATTCCGGATGAGATTGTGCCTATCATTGGATCTTGTTGGGCACAAGACCCGGATGCGCGTCCGGAGTTTAAAGAGATTTCGGTTTTACTGACAAACTTGCTAAGAAGTCTGAGCTCGAACAGTAGTGTTGACGCAACACTACCGGATGAGGAGACTTATGACGATGAGATGGAGGATTCGGAGACCCGTCCTCTGCTTCAAGAGTATCGTTGCAAGGTGAAGAAACCTAAGGAGAAGAAGAAGAAGAAGAAAGTGATGAAGATGAGACTTCCTTTCTTTAAGAAGTTCAAGGCTTGGTTGTATAAGCCATGATCATTTTTTGTGTTGTCCATAAAAAAAAAAGGGAAAAGTTGGTGGATTTAAGGAAAGGACAAGACTGAAGATTCTGTTAGTGAATTTGTTCTTTTTTTCTTCTTTGTGTTTTAATTATTGTTATTTCTTTTCTTTTGTTGTTGTTGTTGTAAGGAAATTTTTCCTAAAGCAATGAATTCCCGTTCTTCTTTTCATGGACATTTCAACTATTTATTTTTACAGAAAATATATCCTTGTGGTAACGAAATCTCAAGTTGGTTTTGGTAAATGTAACATTTTTGATTAGAAATGATAATCATAGTAAATAACAATAGATTTTTGAGGGTAGTGCATTTGTCTACAAAGGATTGAGTAATTCATTTCTCCCTCCATCTTTCTTGCTAAGATTTTATTTATATTGATAAAGTTAATTAATGCGTTTATGTAATAATCTGTAGCTTTGATGTGTCTACAATATTAAATGGATAATATATCAGATGTCGGGACCGGATTTTAGGTTGAGTTTTTGGTTTTAGAATATGTTAGATATAATACTGAATGCGGTTTTATTTGTTACTTTTAATTATGAAGAACTAGTTGATTGTTACATATTATCTGCATAATTCTTAGTTAAGAACTAAAAAGGTTAATTTTATTATTATTTAGTTTTAGTCCTAAGAAGATGGTTTAAGATAAGAACTAAAAGGTTGATTTTATTATTGTCCTTCTTCTTCTTCTTCTTTTTAATTAGTTCTTAACCTTTTCTTAAACTCAAACAAGTTTAAAGTATTGCATTCGATTCTCCTTTTCATTGAAATTTCAATATATTGTTGTGGTAAGTACATATCCATTAAATGAATCTGAAGTTGGTTTTGATAAATTTAACTAGTAAATGACAATAGATTGATAAACGAGGGTACACATTGTGTGGTATATGTCTATTCCTTTATGGTAATTATAGAGATATATGTTGCTGAAACCAAATTTTAGTTTGAGTTTTTGGTTTTAGGTGATGTTGAATGTGAATATGATCATAATAACATTAATGTACCAGATCTCATCAAAACTCCTCTACTAAACATATATACTTGAAAAAGAGTAATACTAAGATGGATGACCTCAAGAAGTTCTCATATTGCATTCCTTTCACAAGTTTGACCAAAAAAAAAAGATAATGATGGAATGTAAGATTGATTGCGGTTTAATTTAGACTTTTAGTTATAAAGAACTACTTTCTTTTGTTCTATTGTCAACACAATTTTTAGTTAAGAACTAAAAGATTAATTTTATTGTGGTAATCGTAATATTGATATTTTAATGATAAAACAGAGAATAGTACGATTAGGTTATACGAGATCAATTTAATAGTTACTTAAATTATGATATTGAGACCGTTATATTTCAATAATTGTATTTAAAAGGTATATCTATTGAACATTAAAACCAATATTAAATAGATCGTTTAACACTTTTTATATTTATGTCAGTGATCGTTTAACACTATTTATTTTTATTTGGTTGCGATCGATTTTAGTTTTAAGTTCGCCACTTTCTATTTTATCACTAAAATTATTGGTGATGGAAATAATATTGTTTCTTAAAAAATATATGTAATAAAAATTAGAAAAATATATAATACTTTTATCTTTTTCTTACCATTTTCATTTAACAAGTTGCATAGAAACTGAACTCTTAACTCCTAAACAGTATCTGGAAGGAGAAACAGAATATATATTTTTCAATTTTTAGATAAATTTAGTTTCCCTATAGAGTCCACATATATATAGTATAGTTAAAGAAAAAAGGGCAAAAAGAACTATTAAACATATATACAAAAAATTACTTAAAAGAGAAGATTCTAAGAAAACCATGACATGTGGTGGTGAATAAAAGAAAAAATTTACTTAAAGAGATAAGATTTAGTTTTCAATTTTTCCTATATATTCCCATTCAAGTTATAATTGTCAATTAATACATAACAATATCTTTCATTTTTTAGTCCCTCTAATTCCACTGGAATACCGGACTTTCTATTTTCCTTACAAAGACAATTCTTGAAATTACGTAAGTACCCCCAAACTTAGCACTAGTATTTCTATATAACCCAAACACTTTCACAGTCTTCTCACTCATCTTCCTCACTCACTTCTAGTCATCTAAATGAAATCTCAACAAATGTACCAGCGAGCTCCAACAATGGCCATTGCCCCGACGATGATGCTTTATCCGAACTACCCTTTTTTCATGTCAGCTTTTGGCTCAGATGAAAATGAGTCTGGTGACCAGTTCGATTTCAATATCAGCAGAGGGTTGCTTCTCAACCCTAAAGACATCACGTGGGGAGAGATGATTGGAGAAGGAGGCAACTCCATCGTCTACCAAGGCCTGTGTGTTTCATCACTCTCTCTCTCTTTAAGATTTTATTTATATTTATTTCTTATAAATCTTTGAAAAATAATTTATTAGGTTTTCTCCAAACAAAATTTGCTGACTTCTTGTTTCTTTCTAGTTTCATTTCAGTTTTTTTTTTTTTTAATTCTTTAATATCCCAAACAACTGTAAAAATTTTATTCAGGTAATAACTATATGTGAAGTTTTGGTGAGGCAACCTAACTTACCTAAGGACCAAAATCTATGTCAAAAGGCAATCATTAGATCTACTCCACAATTTGGAGTGAATTAATTAATCTGATGTTGCATAGAAACCATTAATAGAAAATTTTGAATCTCCAGTCCCATAAGAATGAAGTGTTTTTGCTAATCACTATTTTCATATATTTTCTCTAATGATTTATAGATTCAAACACACTATGCCTGTGGCGGTGAAGATAGTGCAGCCGAGTAAAACATCTGCTGTAAGCATTCAGCACAAACAACAGTTTCAAAAGGAGGTTCTGTTACTATCCTCGATAAGACATCGCAACATTGTGAGGGTAAAAATCATTTACTGTTTCAAACAAAAAAATAATTTGGTGTTTTTTATATTAATGTTACGATAATGAGTAATTAATCTTTTGGTGTTTTCAACATTAATTGTACAGTTTCTTGGAGCTTGCATAGAGCCACAATTGATGATAGTTACCGAACTTGTAAGAGGTGGTACTCTTCAGAGGTTCATGTTGAACTCTCGTCCGAGTCCTCTAGATCTAAAGACGTCACTAAGCTTTGCTTTGGACATTTCTCGAGCCATGGAGTTTTTGCACTCAAAAGGCATCATCCACCGTGACCTAAATCCAAGTAAATATACTCCATTTTATACATCATCATGTCTTGTAGATAGTGAAACAAATTAATTGTTTGTTATCGGTGTTTGTGTAGGGAATGTTTTGGTAACTGGTGATATGCATCGTGTGAAGTTGGCTGATTTTGGACTTGCAAGAGAAAAGACTGTAGGTGGCATGACTTGTGAGGCGGGCACATATCGATGGATGGCCCCTGAGGTATGCAGCCGTGAGCCACTCCTAATTGGGGAGAAAAAACACTACGACCACAAAGTCGACGTGTTTAGCTTCTCATTGATTTTATGGTCGTTGCTCACTAACCAGACACCATTCCATGGGATGGATAGCATTTCTATTCCCTATTTTGTGAACCAGGTAAAAGTTATATACAAATCAACAATCTTGACTTAAATGAAGAAGATTTTATATTGATGGATCTTTTTTATTTCAGGGCATGAGACCAAGCCTAGTTAATATTCCTGATGAGGTCGTACCAATTTTGGAATCGTGTTGGGCCGAAGACTCAGAGAATCGTCTTGAATTCAAAGAGATTACGTTCTTCTTGGAAAGCTTGCTAAAAAGACTCTGCTCAGAGAGTAGTAATAATGACATAACGGTAACAGACGATGAGGCTTATGATGATGAGATAGAGGAATTGGAGACCACTTGGCTGCTTGGAAAGCGCTATATCATGCTGAAGAAACCTAAGAAGAAGAAGGAGAAAGTGATGAAGAGGATACTTCCTTTCTTCAAGAAGTTCTTTTCTTCAAAGTGGTGAAATGCATATGATCACTTTTTGTGCTTACCCATAGAAAGTTGGCAGATTTAAGAAAAGATTGTTTGTTTTATTTTCTTCTTCTTTTGGTTTTCTTGTTATTTTGTTGTTGTTTCTGTTGTTCTAAGAAAAAGAAAAAAAAAGTTTAAAGCAATGCATTCTCATTCTTCTTTTCATGGAAACTTCAACTATATTTTATGTAATATCGTTGTAGTAACCTATCCGCTAAGACCGTTTTCGTTGGTGAGAAATCTATGGAAAATTTTTAAATAAATTTCCTGTATTTAGTGATTTAAATTTTATAACGAGATAAAATAAAATAATAAACATGCATATAAATCTGTAAATATATACATTAAGAGCATTCCTTTGGTGAAAGAATCTTTCAAATCTCTCATTAATATAATACTAATATTTTAATATAGTTTATATACTTTTTTGTGATAAAGATTATACAAGGATTTTTTAGACTCAAAGAATTCATTCCTAATAAAAATCTTCAATCTTTTAATTACTTATATATCATGTTAATTTTCGTGTTAGCGTCTATTTAAACAGGCTTAAATTTTCTAACCTGAACACTTTAGATTATGTACATTTTGGGTAGGATGTCGGATGTGGGATGTCGGGAGCATGGAACTCTTTGACGCATGTATTTACTGCATCATCCACTAGATTGGACAGTTAATTCTATTATCTTATGTAACAGTCCATATTAAATTATCTATAGAACATCGTCCATCATGCTAATCAGTAATCACCGAATTTTTCTAGATACTCTCAACGAAAAGATTATTTCTTCTTCTCTCCAATATTCGTTTGAGCCTTATATACTAAAGTTGGGCCATTACGTTGAGCCCAATTTTCCATTTTTGGTTTGTTTATTTTGATGACGTACGGAGCAAAAACACACTTTCACCACCTTCTCTTCAAAGTCAACTTCCAGATCTTCCCTCATCATCTCCTTTTGGTGTGAAACAGAAGGAATCAATCTCATGTAAAACTATCTGTCTTTTTTTTTTTGGGTTTTCTTCTCTTCATGGTTACTCTTTGATTTTGTTAGGGTTGTGATTGATTCGATGGGTATTTGTATTATTGTTAGTTTTTTAGTAATCATCACATACATCTTTGTTTGAATCTTGAAAGGTTTTTGAGTCTACAAGTGGTTTCCAAAAAATGGATAGGATTAGTAATCTGTCTGATGAATTGCTTTTGAAGATTTTTTCATCACTTCCTACCAAAGATGTTGTCGTCACAATGCTTTTGTCAAAACGTTGGAAGTTTCTTTGGACAATGGTTCCAAAACTTCGTTTTGACGATGAGTTTGAGCTTGATCCTTCCTATTACGGGAGATTTCTCAAGTATGTAGACAAATCAATGGTATTGAATAGAGCTCAGGTTCTAGAAACTGTGAAGTTTGATGTTGGTCCTTGTTGCAGCTCTGAAGATATAGCAACATGGATAAGAATTGGAATGGTTCGCGATATGCGTGAACTTGAAATATCCCATTGTGAAGGATATTTCAGGGAACATAGGTCAATCAAATTACCAAAGAGTCTTTATTCATATGAAAAACTTGAGGTTTTGAAACTCGCTTCCACGGTTGTTCTGAATGTTCCTATCGCTGTTTGTTTTCCATCCTTGAAATCATTACACCTTGTGTGTGTAGAGTACAAAACCAAAAAATCTCATCGTAGGCTTTTATCGGGTTGTCCTGTTCTTGAAGAGTTGGTGTTGGGCATATCTTATAACAACAGTAACCATGTCCATATGCGGTCTTTCTATGTAGAAATACCTACTTTACAGAGATTATCTATTCTTGATACATCTGGACAACTGTACGGTGACTTTACGTTTGTAGTCAATGCCCCGTCTTTGAAGTACTTCAACTTTGTAGATTTTTATGGTGACTTGTGCTTGAGAAATAATATGCCTGAGGTGGTTGAGGCGAATGTTCAAGTCATTTACGAAGATCCCAAGAAGCTATTGGGACCTCTGAAATCAGTCAAGCGTCTCTCTTTATGTTTATCTGCTTCAACGGTAATCAAAAACCAAACCTATGTTTTCTTGTGATACACGACATTTGTATTGTGCTTATGTTTCCGAGAATCTCTATGCAGCTTCATAACCATATGGAGTTTTATCAGCTTGTTCATTTGGAGCTATGTGGAGACGCTCTAATGTGGTGGGATCTACTTACTTGGATGCTCGAAAGTTCTCCTAAACTACAAGTTCTCAAGCTTTACAAAGTATACATTTAATTTGACCTAATGCATTCAGTTTCTTTATTCCCTTGTTTCACTTTCTTGAGTTCTTGTTTTAAAGTTCTAATACACTATAATTTGTATTCTTTTAGTGCGAGTGTGAGGAACACGAGTACTCCGAAGATCCAATAGAAGATCATTGGGAAGAACCAAGTTCAGTTCCTGAATGTTTGTTGTTCCATCTCAATACTTTCGAGTGGAAATATTACAACGCAGGAGAAGAAGAGAAGAAAGTGGTGGCGTACATTCTAAAGAACGCAAGACAGTTAAAGACTGCAGCTTTCTCTGCTCCATATTTGTATCCGAAGGAAGAGCTCAATGAGTTGGTTTATATGGCTAGAGCTTCAAGCTCATGTCAGCTTCTATTGGACTGATAAAATAATGTAGTAGTCTTCTTGCCTTTACATGTGCTTCAAAGAAAACTAGAAGCATTATTTGGTTTGAAAGTTACTTTTACCATTTTTTACTTAAAAGTTAAAAGATAAAACTTTGTTAATGAGACAGCAATAGATTTGTAATTAGAGGTTTAACTTTAAACTCTTCTAATCTTTCAGTTTTCAAAGATACAATCACTAAGCTTCAAAATTTAACAATTGATTTAATCCTTCTTCGTCTATATATGTTTGGAAATTTTAGGCCCACATTGAGATAAATGGGCTTATGAATTATGGCTATTTCCATCATCATAACAATGGCTCGTAATAAGAGATTTTAAACCGGTATTAGTGTTGTCCTGTCGTGATAATAACACGTCACTATATCGGTATTATCATAATGGTCCTACGATACGATTGGCACAGCAAAAAATCTATTGTCCGAATCTCTTTTCTTCCTTTTGTCTATCGAATATCTAATCAAATCAATGGTCAAAACTCGAAAGGTAAAAAAATTTCAATATCCCACCGATAATTGTAACAAAAAAACAAATGGGACCCTAGACTATTCAAGATTTGGAAAGAGTTTCTATAAAAAGAAGTAAATCTCTCTCTCTTTACCAATTCCGATTAAGGAAACGAAAGCAAAACAATTCCATTTATTGCATTTTTCAAGGAATTTATTAGATAAGAGTCAATCATCATCACTCGTCACTAAAGATTTCTTTGCGTTTAAGAATAAGAAATTAGATGGATTAGAGTGATTAATTAATTGCAATATATATTAAATATTGAACCCTTTCTTTCAAAGGGAAGTTTCAAACTCACACTAAGCTATTGAACAAGAACATCTAAAACCTCCAATTTCTCAAACATATTAACTTACTCTACTTATGATTTTCTTCTACTAATGTCTTTCCCTGAAAACTCTCCTGATCCATATGTCGTTCCCATATCGATGCCGCTGCTTCCTCCGACTAGAGCAGATAGTCCGTTACTTGGACCATTTCCGTTACCAACCGCTCTACCTAAACCGAGAAAGTCTAATGTCGTCTGTTTTGGACCAAACACGGATGAATTACCCATCATGAGCTCTTTTAAACCCGAGCTGCTTTCGCCACCACAAGGCAGTCCTAATCCTAGTCCATGAGGGACTATTGCGTCCATTGAAGTTGAAGTTGATGAAACTATCCCTAACCCGCGAAGCAATGAACCTCCTGAAGAAGATGCTCCCATTTGAGCTGCTTTTTGAAGTAAAGCGGTTGCTGACATCGCGGGCTGTGCTTGGAACCAGTTTGACCCGAGAAAGGATGATCCATGACTAGTTGAGAGACCCAAAGAGATAGGTTCGATGGACGAAGATGGCGCGAATAGACTCGGTGAAGAAGACGATGTTGTGTATATGCTTGGAGAAGCCGAGGAAGACTCGAATAAGCCTGCGAAAACACCGTTGCGTGTAACAACATTTACACCGGTCGGTTTTGGAGCTTCTTGAACGATTTCAGGAGGGGTTTTGGGGGAATCTGCAAAACATATTGGTCATTAGTCGTTAACATAAAGTTTGATACTTTTCAATTCACAAAAAATGTAAAAAAGCAAATCAATCATATATCTTCCATTTCTTTATCATAAAGAACCAATCAGCCATTGAACAACTATTAAACGAATTATGTTCTTAATCAGGTAACAGATAAAATAATCCAGCACTACGGACAAAACACCAAACTAAACTCCAAGATCACCACCGACCATTAACAGAGATTACTTTACCATCTTCATTTTCAGCTAAAAACAAGATAATATAGAGACAAAAAATGGATCCAAAACACCAAAAATTTCCCAATCTAGAACACTACAAGAGACTCTTTACCTGATTGCTTAATTGTTAAAGTCGAGGAAGATATGATTTTAGCAGACTGATCAGTATCCACCGGAGCAGGATTCCGGTCGGGTACCGGTTTTTTCCGGGTCAAAATGTCTGGATTCTGTTTCTTACTCTGATTATGATGACTTCTCGCACTTTCTTCAGCCAAAGCATCACAAAATGCTCTATGCGTTATAAAACTATCCCTCCTACAAACAAAATCACTCAAAACTTAGATTGAATTTTGAGTTTTATCTTTTGTATGCAGAAAGTTGAAAACTTTACCTAGAAAACAGAGTACCACAATCACATTTATACTCTTTAGTACCACAAATCTTGGAATGAGCTTTCCAATCAGATTGAACAGCGTATTTCTTTGAACATTTATCACATTTCCACTTCTTCTCACCATGTTTCCGACAAAAGTGTTTCTTGATTCCAGTTAGATCTCCTAAAGCACGTGAAGGGTCATGATGAACACAACTAGCTTCAGGACAAACATAGACTTTTTTCTTCACTTCTTTGTTCGATTTCTGACGAAGCTTCCATGGTAAATTGTGTCCACGACGATGAAGTTGAAGATTTTGGTCTCTTTGAAACCCTTTGTTACAGATTTCACATACGAATCTGTTTGTTGCTAGTAATGTTTTTGGTGATAAAGCTATAACTTCTGACTCTGGATCTGTCAACAAAAAAAAAACAAAACTTTAGGAAAAATTGTAAATTTTGATAAAAGTTTTGAGTTTTTAGAGTTTACCAGGCATGCCGGGGAGGTTACGTTTCTTCTTTCCGGTGGATTTTCCGGTGGATGAGATTGAAACACTTGCTTCACCGGAAACTGTGGAAGAGTTATCTAAATCTACCGGCATCTTTTTTTTTTTTAGTCTCACTCTGTTTTTTTTTTTTTGTTTCTTACTGATTCTTAAATATAATAAAAGTTAAGAATGACATAAATGAAGAAGAAAATTTGAGCTTATTTTCGTCAACCAAGTTTCAACCTTTAGGGTTTTTATTTTTTACTCTTTCTATAATTCTGCTCCGTTGTTCTTCAGCTACCAGTCAATCTGCTTTTCGTAAAAATCTCTTTTTTGCTACCTACTTTTTCTGATAACAACGATTTTAAAAATTAAAGAAAAAAAAATTACATTTAAAAACGAAAACTTCTCCTACATAAATCGGTTCACTGAAAACAAAGATCTAATGGCTGAGATTTCACCGGAGAGTTACGCCGTCGATCTGAGTTTTGAAAGAGACAGAGAAGAAAAAAAAAAAAAAAAAAGAGACAGAGAAGAAGAAATAAGGCGGCTCGTGAGATTTCGTGTGAAAGAGAGAAAGAAAAGCTACGAAGCTTTTTTTTTTTTTTGTGTTGGCTCTTTGGTTCTTCCGAGACAAAGGAAACTTTCTTTCTTCTTCTCTCTCTCTCTTTCTCTCTATTGGCACAATTATTATTATTTTCCTCTTTAATCGATTTTCAACTTTTCAACACTTTGGATATTTTTAAAATATTTTAATTTTTTTTTTATAATTGTTTTGAGCTATCTAAAAGAAATATTTTGTCGATCCTTGTGGGGTTCGAGTGTTTTTCAAGTATATCTATCTTGATTTTGGACTCCCATGCATTTTTTTATGTATATAAAAAATAGGGATGTTAAAAGTGGGCTTTAGCCCGGTGGGTACCCAAAACCCATGTTAAATAAAAAGCCCAAAGATCTACTTTCTATGTAAAAAAAACGCGGGCTTAAACCGGTCTGGGTACCCGAATGAAGAGAGTCTTTTACGGGTTTATCTTGTTGGGTTATGGGTACCCACGGGTTTTTTTGACAAAACCTCATCTCTTCGTTTTTTTTTTCATCACCTCATCTCTTCCTAATATGATAACATTCTAACCAAAATTCACTGTAAACTATCACTACAAATCCTGTCACTGCCTAGATCGAGGAAAAATAAAATAAATCCGTTGCCTTGTAACCGTTGGTGCCGTCGTACGAGTTGACCCGCCGCCGCCGAGTTTGTTGAAGCCTCGTTTGTTTCCTCCGTTCAAATCAAAATCCATAGCTTTTTTATTGCCTCACTCTCTTTCTCTAGATTACAACAACAACGGACACAAATTAATACAAGACAGAGACTTTGAAATAAGGATTTTTTTGATCGGTGGTTCTTTCAAAATCCGATCATGGATAGATAAATCAAGCGGCAGAATTGGAGGAACCCTAGAAAAATTTAATTACCAAAAACAATCTCTGAGAAGTAGTAATCAAAATATGGAAGTATAAGAAACAAAAATTTGGGATTGTTGTGAATGTGGTGAAGTAATAATAATGAAGAGAAAAAAAGAAAAACTTTGAAGTGGATTTATTTTTTTGTGTTTATAGAAAATTTTGTATTAGAATTAATAAATTAAAAAGAATAAAATACAAATACATATAAAATACAAATCTTTATAAATCAAATAAAGAAAAAAAAAGGTCAATATAAATTCGGGTACCCACAGGTTACCCAGACTCGCTCGGGTTTTTTTCGGGCTTACCCATTAGAACCCGAAACCCATTGGGTTTTTGGAATTCGGGTTTTTTGTGGGCAGGCTTATTTCGGGTTCGGGCTGGGCTGGGTTTTTTTACCCACAACAACATCCCTAATAAAAAATATCAATCTCATTGTCTTTCTCTTTCTCTTAACTAATAATCTAATTATCTACTCATTTCTGGATTTAAAATGGTTAAAGAAAACTTATGAAGTTAGTAGATAAAGTAGTTCTATATCAATGATTCATTGTATGATACGAACTCCTGTCAAGCCTATTATCCATAATCATGTCACATAATCAACTAACCAAAAATACTAATATTACCGTTATGTATGTTACAATAAAATTCAAATTTAGTAGAATAAAAAATAATATATACTAAAATGATGAAATAACTTGTAAGTAAAAAAGAGGAAGTTAAAAAGATTAATTGTCGTTTGTCCTTAAGCGAAGACAGTGGAGGATTTACCGTCACGTTGTCGGACCAAACATCTCCGTTAAAAAAAAAAGAGTTTTCCATAATTGTCGATAAAACAAGAAAAGAGAAGAGAAACAATTACGGAAATTTTGAAATTACGGTTGATTTTGTCGTCTATTGATGTTATCAGGAAAAAAAAAAAAATCAGTGTTCTGATTATCATGCTATTACACATTTAATGCAATTGATCGTGTTATTTGTTGACCTTGACCTTTCAGTGTATCTACAAACTACGTGTGTCGTATTATTCAACCAGATAACATCTTGCGTACAATAAGTCAATAATTATCATCTTTGTCATAGTATAGTTGTTTATAAGATTGGATTGATATTATTTTCTGCTTTTGGCATTAGGATAAAAAGGATAAATGCAACTTTTATGTAATATCTATCCATCAAAAACTAGCGTTTGACATTGTCTAATTTCTTTCTTCTACTGTCTTATATCTCTTTTTTTTTTTTTTGTAATGTCTATTTTTATGAGATTCAAAAAACAACATTATTTTAGGCGTGACAGGGTCCCTCAAGAATCCAGAACACTATTTAGCCAGCTTAGAAATTCCATTTACAGACATAAAGTTTTCAGCACTATCTTTTTTTTTTGACACCAAAACACCATTATTATTAAGCTAGTTCGAAAAGGTTAGCCTCGTGAGCCAACCACTCCGGAACTTGGGAGCTTACATGGGAAAAAACTAGACCTCGTACTCGAGCGCTCTTTGCAAGGCGATCGGCACGGACATTATTGTTTCTAGAGATATGAGAAATCGAGAACAGAACAAATCGGGCTCTAAAACCTTTAAAAATATCTAACTCCGAAGAAAACACTGGCCAATCTTCTGTTTCCTCAAGGACACTAATGATCCCCAAGCAGTCAGTCTCAAAATGGACTGAAACCAACCCATTGAGAAGGGCACCTTCCATCGCCCAAAGGAGTGCACCAAATTCAGCATGTAGAGCATTCCGGTACCGGTTTATACTTCTTAGTCCAAAGAGCGTGATGGGGCTATTTATAACGAAGCCAAATCCAGAAAGTGGATCATTACCTTCCCACGACGCATCCAGCTGACAAGTTATCTCGCCTCTCGGATTTTGAGTAGCCTCCATCTCTTCCGTATCTTCGTCTTCAGACTCTTCATGAGTTTCCATAACTTGCGCCAATTGCCAGCTTTTTGTCTCTGACAGGGCTAATGCAAGCGTCTCAGGAGGTTGGTTATCTTTGTTAGAGAAAACCTTGTCGTTCCTAGCCTTCCAGATGTACCAAACAATCCAAGAGAAAGATTCTAATTGTTCCGCTGTTACTCCTTGCTTCTTTGCCTGCCAAAGGAGGTAGTCGAAGTTGGAGAATAGGGAACTACACGGGAACAGCCCCGGAGAGGTCGGAATAGGCGATAGAGCCCATACTTGTAGAGCCGGAGGGCACTCAAAAAGCACATGGTTAATCGATTCCTCAATCGCACCACATCTTGGACATGATCTATCTGAGCCGCAGTGCCTATCTGCAAGGCGGCTACTAGTAGCCACGCAGCCAGCTAACGCTTGCCAGAGGAAGTGCTTGATCTTTCTAGGAGCCTTTAGTTTCCAGACTTGGCTTTTAAGTTTTGTAGTACTCGGCTCGAGGACTTCAGCACTGCTTTGGAGGGCCTGTTTCGCTAAGGCATAGCCGGATTTTACTGTGTATTGACCATTCTTCGTGTGAACCCAAATGTAATCATCCACCTTGAAAGTTCTGCTCGGTTTTAGACCTGTGATCAAAGGTATATCACTCGGCTCAATGAGCTCATTAATCAGATCCAATTTCCACTCTTTTGTAGTAAAGTCTATAAGATGGTTGACATATAGGTTCGGGTCTCGGTATACACCATTGTCATTTGCCGGTCTTGCTGGAATAGTAGGGATCCAGTTATCACACCATACCTTTGTATTGAAGCCAGAAAGAACATTTTTCCGGAGGCCTTCTTGTAGTAAAGGCTTTGCTGCCATCATACTTTTCCACCCATATGATGGGGAATTCGCTTTCTTTGCCTCTAAAGGATTTGAGTACCGAAAATACCGACCTTTCAAAACGCGGCAAAGAAGAGAATCTGGATATCTGAGTAGACGCCATACTTGTTTAGCTAGAAGGGCTAAGTTGAACTCCTTTAAATCTCGGAAACCCAAACCGCCATCTGATAATGGGATACTGATCTTTTCCCAGGCCAACCAATGTAGTCCCCTGTTATTGTTCTTCTTACTCCACCAAAATTTCGAAATTGCTCCACGCAGCTTATTTGTGACATTTTGAGGCAGAAGGAAACAGGACATGACGTATGTTGGTAAAGCTTGTGCCACCGATTTTATTAAAACTTCCTTCCCTCCTCTAGAAAGAAATTTTGCCGTCCAAGAATTGATTCTTGCATTTAGCCTATCCTGCACGAATGCAAAGACTTGTTGTTTGGAGCCACAAATCGTTTCTGGTAGTCCTAGATACATCCCCATACCTCCTTCTTTCGAGATTCCTATGGCGGTTTTTAGCGAAGCTTTTATCTCAGGTGCCACTCTATTTCCAAAGAGGATTGCGGATTTCTCACGATTGAGTTGTTGTCCCGAAGCTAGCCCATATATATTAATAATCTTCAGAAGCTCAGCACACTGCTGGATTTCTGCTTTACAGAAGAAAAGGCTATCATCTGCAAAGAGTAAGTGTGAAACAGGCGGGCTACCTTGCGCAATTTTTAGCCCTGTTAGTCGCCCTTCTTCTTCCGCTCCGCGGAGCTGAGCTATCAAGGCTTCAGTACAAATAATGAAGAGGAATGGGGACAGCGGGTCACCTTGGCGGAGTCCCCTTGTAGGGATAATATTACCTTTTGCTTCTCCATTAATGAGGACCTTGTATGATACTGATGAAATACAGCACATCATCCAGTTTATCCATTTTGAATCAAAC